CTTTTTTTATAAGGACACCGGTTATTTTAGACTAGGGGCTCACCCTACTATAGTATGACCACCTCTTAATTAATTACATCTACAACAACCCTATTTCCAAATAACACTACATTCTAAATAAGGTACTGAGGATTATGACTTCAACATTTGAATTTTGGGGAGACACAATTCAATCCATAACAAGCAGGAAAAAAAAAATCCCTGCTGCCAAGGAACTTACATTCAAATGCCAGGAGACGTGTGTGTGTGTGTGTGTGTGTGTGTGTGTGTGTGTGTGTGTGTGTACGTGCACACACATATGTGTTCATCAGGAAGTAAAAAATGCTCTGAAGTACTGGAGCAGTGACAGAGTTTAAGGGGTAGCTACTTCAAATGGATGCTTCTCTGATGAAATGCCTTTTGAGGAGACCTGAATGAAGTCAGAGACTGAGCCCGGTGAGAATCCAAGGGGAAGCACATTCCAAGCAAAGGGCACAATGAGTGCAAATGCTATCAACTAGAACCTCTCTCACTGAATCTCTCACTGCAAAATGGCCTGGGGAGTGCTCACCATGTCAGGCATGATGTATCCTGGGAGATATTTCTCTGCCAGGCCCTAGCACTTTCCTCTCTCTTTTGAAGGTTCATTTCAATAAATATTTTTTGAGCACCTACTATATACCAGGCATTGCTTGAAGCTAAGTAAAAAGTCAAAACGGGAATCCTCTTTGCTCTCCTGAACTAAGTTTTTAAACTATTGTATAATATTAGATTGGATGTGCCATGATAACTCATTAGAATTTTACTTTTCACCTGATTTCTTAAGAGAGAGAAAGACCATCCAGCTTCTTCGGGGATTTTTCCCATGATGGAATATTAGAACTTCAAAAAGTTCATTCCACTGGCAACTGCTCAGTTGTTGGAGATGTCCTTTAGGTTGAGCTAAAATATGACTTTCTGATACTTACATGTGTTGGATCAAGATCAACACAGAATAAATTTTTTTCCCTCTTCCATGGGATAATTCTTAAAATTGTGAAGAAAATTAGAATTTCTATTCATTTCCTCATTGCCTTCCACTATCATATGTAGTTCATGGTCTCTGCAATGGTTACTTGCCCCTAGATACTCTCAAAGTAGTCCAAGATTTTACTAAATGCTGGGTGCAGGGAACACAGGTTCCATGAATATTTTGAACAGTTCTGTGTTCAGTGGGAGTGTTGCCATCACGATGTAGATACTATGCTTCCATGAATTCAGTGCAAGATTAAATTAGCACTATTCATAATCATAATGTTAGCTTATGTTAAACACTCAGATAAACATAGCTTTTACTTCAACATGAGACTTTACATTCATCACCTTCATATTCATCTTACAGGTTTTGATCTTCTTGCATGCTTTGATATTGTTTCTAATCATGACTCTGTATCTGTTGCAGTGTGACAAAAAACAGAAGTCCTCAGATTATTCACTGTATGACTCTAATTGAGTCACTTGATTCTCCTGAACCTCAGTTCTGCTCATTGTAAAAACAAAAGGGGCTTGGGATCTTGTAATAAGTCTTCTTTGTGGAGTTTTGAGAATCAAATGTGACAAGCCAGGTGGAAGTATTTTGTAAAATGGGAAACACTGTGCAAATGCAAGTTAATAGCAGTAATAGGATAGGATTCGCTTTTCCTCCTGATTTTGCCAGCTGCTGAGGTGATAAGCATGTTTTCTATGTCTTTAGCCAACTCATTGCTTCAAATGCCAGGCAGAGTAAGACCAAAATACTAATCAACGTACTTTAGGTTTGTTTACAACCTGCTGCAAATCTATATAAAGGCATTATGACCCAACCTGTATATCCACAGTTCACCTTGGCCTCAAAGACAACATGAGCCTGGCTGTGTGTCAACACAATACCGTGTAGTAGTTACCATCAACAGCTTTGAGTCACACAAATTTGGCTTCAATTCCAGCTCAGTCACTCACCAGCAATGTGACTTTGTGTAAATTGTTTGATCTCACTGATCTTCTGTTTCTTATCTTTAAAATGGGAGATTCAAAAAAGTACTTACCCACTAGGACTACTGTGGGAGTAAATGAAATAAGACAAATAAAGTATAGTATATAGTATACTAAAGTGTTCAACAGTGGTTGCTATTTTTATGATATGATTCTGAAAATGAAGTTTTCCTAATCAATTCTCTGATCTTATAAACTAGCTCTACTTCCAATGCTAGAAAATAAAGCTAGCATAACATGACATTCCTGGGGAACCTGTGTTCTCTCTAGTAACCACCACGTTCCTTTGTTAATACTCACAAACCACTCTCTTAAAAATCCATTCTTGACTTTTTCTGGGTTCCCCATCTGAGAACAGCTGTCCTGTTTGTGGATCATGGAACTTATTTCCCCATTTGAAAAAAATGATTGACATTTCCTTTATTCATTCTTCTTTTGGTCTCTGGAATATCTCAGATTTACTGAGTTTAATCCTCAATTCATATTCGCTCGTTCAAAATGAATATTTTGAACATCTACTATTTGCCCAACATCCCATTTTCTCAGCAGCCTGGCATGACTTGCACCCAGTGCTGGCAACTAGAACTCATTTCAAGTGGCCATGCTCTGTCTTACTGTCCACTTGTTTATGAAGAATTGCAGTCAACTCCTCCTCACATTGTTTGAAAATATGGACAAGTCATTTAACGCTGAGTCACAATTTCCTCCCCAGTAAAGCAGGATAATAATAGCTACTGTGTCCACCTCACAGGGTGAAAATAAATGAGACAAGGTGTAAAAAATAAATAAAATATAAATAATCAAAAAACCAAAGCACCCTCCCCAAAATTAATTCAAGATATTATTTGCTTCTATTCTTCCAGGCTGCAAACCACTTTCCATGCTGCAGAACTTGAAAGCAAAATATGAATTTGATAGTTCTGTTATCATTACACCATCTGCCCCAGGCGGCTTGGTGATCACTTCCTTGTTCTTCTAGTTTCAAACACAGATGAAAATGTCTTTTTATGGTCTTTAATATTTTCAACAGCCCAAATTTCATTGTTTATTTGTTACTTATACCCTTATGGTATTCTATATTAAGATGCAAGTCCAATCAGATCAACCCAGCAAAATATGAAGAGCCAAAAGAATGAAAAGGAAGTGATGTTTGGGTAAGAAAACCTAGCCCAAATATAATCTGTGCAATTGAACAGATACTTAGCTTTGCGTTTTGGAAACAGAGCTTAAAAAATGGGCTGGGGAGGAGTTACACTGTACTCTCTAGTTAATAACAAGAAGCACAAGAGATACACTTCTGATGACCCACTGAACTCTGAGAGGGATCACACATAGAGATTAACTTAATAAAGAACATAAAACAATCTAATGAAAAGTGTGTTCAGCAGCAATTTTTCAGAAGAGGAAGTATGTTCTCCAAATGGTCACTTTTATATATAATCCTTAATAAAAGAGGATGAAACAATGTCAAACCATGATTCTGTGAGGATACTTCTAGAGGAGGGAAGGTTATATTGCCCATGTATAAGTATTCTTAATGATATGGCTTGATACAAGACGGAAAATTTTTAAATCTAATGGACCATCATGCCCACTAGGTTATCTTTCTTATCTCTCTATTTCAACCAGACTTTGATGACTATCCAGGCTGCTCATCCATAGTGGTCGAGGCTATATGGGGAGGCAAGAATATATAGTCTTTCTGTAGTGTGGATCAAATGGAGAACCTCGTGCTTTAGATAACTGGTATGTAGGTGGCAATGATCTATTTCAAAAATTATGATCTTCTTGCCTCAAAGAAGAGCCTTCCCATCATCTTCAGGGAGGAAGGCTGTCAAAGCAAATTTTCTCTTGGAAAACAGTTCTGGGTATAGTGAAAACTTTAAACAACTTAAAACCCCATAGTTCTACAACATAGAGCAGGGGCCAGCAACTGTAACTCCTGGGCCAAATTCCCTTGCTATCTTTTCTTGTAAATAAAGTTTTATAAGAATGCAGCTACACCCATTAGCTTATGAATTGTCCATTCACAGACACTGCGTTACAGTAGAAGAGTTGCATAGTTATGACAGAGAACATATGTCCCACAAAACCTAACAAATTTACTATCTGGCCCTTTATGGAAAAAGTTTGTCAACCTCTGCCAGAGATCAGGAAGAGATCATCCAAGGCTAAAGGGGTTTGAGGGCCATAGCTACTTCACCATCATCAATTTTTACTAGGAAATAATTTAATATCCCTTTTCAACTGTTTTATTTTAAGCATTGCAACATCACTAAGAGCTCTCCACAATGAATTAGCTGCAAAATTCACACCCCAAAAAACTAAACGAATTAATCTTCAGATAGTGATTTCACTGGGGTAAAAGCAGAGACATGGGCTATGACCACACTTTTCCTTTTAATTTGAATCTTAATAATTTAATGACACTTTTCTATAAACTGGTTGCATTTTCCTCTGCTCTAGAGAATAGAAAAATAGACATTCTCTTATAAGGAGACACTGAGTTAATGACCATGAACGGAGAGTGGGTGCAGATCAGGCCTGCCGCTGACCAGTGCCAACAAGGGCAACAGATGAACAGTTCTGAAACCTAAGGCCTCCCTTCTGCTACCCATCCCCTTTTGCTTACCTGATTTATAGTTCATTATCTGTGCAGCTAGCTAGTCATCAGTGGTATAAATATAAATTTTATGACTAGTATATTAGAAAGCACATCAAGAAGTTATGTTTCTCAAAGACACAAATTTCATTGCTTTTTTACTGAATTTTTTTAGGCTAAAATGAATACCGTCATGCTCAGCATCATGATCTTTGAGGCTTTGATCTCTCCATAGCCAGTGCTGTGAGTACACAGAAATTACTCCCTAAAGAGGACATTGTTGGGTACTTTGACTTAGAGCTTCGGTCCCCAACCCCTGGGGGGTGGCCTCTTAGGAACCTGGCCGTGCATGGCTGCCTGAGCTCCACCTCTCCCCACCCCACCCGCGGCTCCCATCCCCCATCCGTGGAAAAATTGTCTTCCATGAAACCGGTCCCTGGTGCCAAAAAGGTTGGGGACTGCTGAGTTAGAGCCCTTTTTGTATCAACAGCAAAAAAACTAGAGACACACTCATGGCCAGCCCTGGTGAGCACACAAGACATTTACAAAACAAAATGAGTCTAACTCACTCCTGGTTTCATTTATTTTTCTGAGTCTCATTTTCCTGTTGTCCTACTTTCCTCACCCACTTATTTTTCACTTTATTTTATCTTGTGTGGTATTAATAGGTAATCCACCTTAAATCCTTTCTGGAACAAGGCAGGGTATAAGTAAACAAGTTAAAATGAACTGGCCTGTTGAATAGAGTTATTTAGTATTGTCCATCTGAATACTGAAAAAAAAAAATATCTGCCAAAAACAACTATTTTGTTTTGGCATGGTAGCTGCTGAGGTTTTCTTTCAAACAAAATTGCTCAACAGGTTCAGAGGCTTCTTGTTGCTCCTGCAGGCACGTGACAGTGGCACTGTACAGCCAGAGAGAGCAGGGAGCTCGTCTTGCTGTCTGCTACAGCAAGGAAGTAGGCAACCCAATGCCATTGCAGCTTTGGCAGGTTAATATTGAGGGTCAAGTTTACTGCATATACCATCTCTTCTGCCTCTGTTATGGGGGAGAAGGTCTTAGTAATCAGCATTTGAATAGGGATCTACAATTTGCAAAGAAGTTCACACACAGGGCGCCTTACTCAATCCTTACAATAACCCTGTTTTTTAAAATAACCCTGTTAATTTGGTTTATGATGCTTACTTTACATTTGAGGGAACTGAGACCAGAGAAGACAAGTAAAGTGAGGAGAGCTCGAACCGGGATTCGAACCCAATCCATGAGGCCACATCACATATTCCTGATTTTCTCTGTGCCCTCCCTTGCCCTTCGACACGTTTCTAATCATCTGATCTGGTCATAGAAGCCTGCTATGTGATGGGTCATGATTGAAGGCTTTGGAGTTATACCTGAGGTTAAATATCTGATTTTTCATTTTCTAGCAGTTACGTAAAGTTACTGGGTTAGTCACCCAAGGCTGCTGTAACAGATTATCACAAACTGAGTGGCTTAAAACAACAGAAATGTGTCCTCTCCACAGTTCTGGAGGCCAGAAGTCTGAAACCAAGGTGTTGGCAGGCGCACACTCCCTCCAAAAGCTTTTGGGGGAGAATCTGTTCCTTGCTCCTGTTGGCTCCAGACGTTCCTTGGCTTGTGGCTGCATCACTCCAGTCTCTGCTTCTGTGGTCACATTGCCGCCTTCTCTTCTCTGTGTCCTCTCGTCTCATGTGTTTGTCTGAAAAGGAAATGTGTGATTGCATTTAGGGACCATTGAGAACAAGCTCTTCTTCTCAAAATCTATAACTTCATCCCATTATGTCATATAAGGTAATATTCTCAGGTTCTAGGGATTAAGATGGGGACATATCTTTTGGGGGGGCCACCATGCAACCCACTAAAGTCACTGAGCCTCAGTTATGCTCCAGCTTCCATAAAAATTATTAGAGTAATATCACTTGTCGTAAGGGTGATTATAAAATAAGATGATCTAAATAAAAGTGCCCTTATATGACAGGTGCTCAAGAAACGGTCTGCCCCTTCTTTCCTCATCAAGAGAGCTTCTAGAACAATCACAGTACTTTCTAGATGATTTTCCTCATTTGTTCCATTGGAATAATTCTCACACACTCAAATTCTCCCTCTCTTTCCTTCTCTCAAGCCGTATTCATTTTCAGGACAAAAAGCAATAAACTTTTTGAATTCTATTTGATTATGAACTAGGATAGTCATTCTTGAAATAACCATGGTGAGCAATCAGTTTTGATTCTGATTTGTTAAATAAAATTAAAATGTTGTGGTGATAAACATTGTTATAAAAGCTTCCAATACTTACTTTCATCTTGTTGCAGACCAATAACTATTTGTGGAACCACACTGTTCAAGAACCTCATTTCAAGAAACAATGTGATGAAACACCATATGATCTAAATTCCAAGATTCTGGTTACTCTCTCACTATTATTTCTTAGAATTCCCATGTTGACAATAATTCTCTTGTACTCTCTCTTTTCTAGAGATTAAAAATGTCAACACTAAAAGATAGGCATTTACCAAGTATCTTAATTTTAACAATGTCAATTTTCCCAAAGATAGTCAAATTCTCCCAGTACTGCAAAGGGTTACTTCATACCAAGATTTAACACCAAGACATGATAGTCATCATCTCCCTCTTCCTGCATGGTCTAAAGTATATTCTCATAGCAGTATAATTAATTTCTCATTTGCTTTGTTTACCTTTGTTTCTATCTGGATGATATCTTAGTTATACATAGCAGTAATCTATTTTTCCTTCTATAGGATAAGGTTCTGAATAAAGTATGTCTTTCTCTTGATATATTTTTTTGGCTGAATTTTATCCCATTAAGTCTTAGTATTCTTGATAACATTACATTTACTTTTTGTTTTAAAACTTCAAGTTCATCTTGTCACCCCCATTCTGTGTTGACATAAGATAGTTTCCTAGTGCCGTAATTATTATTCTTAGTGAACTTCTTTGTCATTTGTTGAATGAATGAAAGAATGATAATTACTGGGGACCACTTCCATGATACAAATTCTTCTTCTGTCATGCCCACTGTCCTTGCTACCTAGTTAGTAGTTGGTCTTGATTTTTCTCCCTCCCCTTCATCCATTTATCCTTGTTAAATATGTTCTCCACTTTGATTTGGTGCCCTTTTCCCTTTCAGTAGTACATCTTCCTGACATTGCTGTCATGATCCAAAAGACAAATTCTTTCCTTTGGATGTCTTCTATGTAACCAGCTATTATCCTCCTTTCTCTTCCACAGGCATGACTGCACACTAGAAGCAGAGAAAAAAATCCCACCCACCCCACCAATTTTTTTACTTTCCTACCTAGAGAGGCATTGCAGATTTCTTATGACTGTGGCATTTGTTCCCTCATGAACCATCAGAGTAGAAGGAATTGGGGAGTTTGGTGAGTCTTAGCAGGCTCTTAGTCATATCCATAGGCTTATCATACTCACATCATATCATACCTCTAAGAAGACAGCACACAGACAGCCCCCTACGCCCAGCCAGCAGAGAGTCACAAATCATTAGTAAGTGTATGTTTTTATTTGATTGAGACAACACAGTTCCATCATTTGAATGCTTAGGAATGTGTTAGAATCCTTTAGAGGCTGGGATAATGCCTCCTTTTGGGGATGTCTGGAATTACCCTCCAAGAGAACAGTCTCCACACTGCCTAATTTCCTCTTGCTCGTCCCCAGCTATGTCATAAGTCTCCAAGCTACTCTCAGTGACAGCCCTGGAGTCACTTTGCAGTTCCAGGGCACCTTGTCTTCCTCCCTTTAGGCTCTAAGCATTTAACCTTAAAAAAAAAAAAAAAAAAAAACAAAAAAAAAACTGTTCCCTCCTACCCCAGAGCCTGTGATTTGTTTCTTTCCAAGGCAGGCTCTTCCCAGTGTAGACTGCAGAGTATAATAGGATTTTCCTCTCTCCTCCCTTTCTTATTGTACCCGAGAACAGGCACACAAGCCCTTGCATTTTAAGATACTATGGAGAATTAGATGATGATAATGACAACAAACACCATTAAAAAATTACCCAAAACTCAAGCAATTTCAGAGTTGTCCTAGTTAGTTTCCTTGGGATATAATTACTAACTCCCTTTTTATCTAGTGTACTGAGGGTAAGGTGAGGTCCTGTCGATCTTTAATGTCTTCTGCCACCTACGTTACCATATTTGTACCTGGTGTGGGGGGCTTCCTAAATTGACCAGTGTGGCCTTCCTATGGGAACCCTATTTGGAAACAAAAATTAGAAAAACCTATAGATTCCTTTTGTGTACTTCTGACTGTCCTACTCTGAATTTGCTGTCTCTTCCTGATACTATCAGTCTTTTGATTCTGTAGATCTTTTCTTTTTTTTCCATCCCCCCCAAAGGGGAAAGGGCCTTATACTTATTTGCTCCCCAAAGATCCTTCCCCAATATGCCTGTTCTTCCCTAAGCTGTTGTCCTGTCCTTCCCGCTTCTGGGAAGTCTGTCCCCATGCGGTGCCTGTAGCACAGCCAGGTGAGAGGAGTTCTACTGATCGATCGCCAGTGCTGGCTTTTTTACTTCCTGTTTTTAGACACTGTTTGAGTGCAGTTTTCCTGATCTTGGATCCTTGCAGCTCCCATCATTTTCCTAGGAGACCAGATCATTGCTTAATTTTCAGGCCCAGTGCATAATGAAAACATGGGGTCTATCATTTAAAAAGTATTAAGAATTTCAAGACAGCAACAGTATAGCATTAAACCAAGTACAGGACCCTTTGAATGTAGGAGTCCATGTGACTACACAGGCCAGCACTCCCATAAAGCTGGCCCTGCTAGGAGCATGTCTGTCATCCTAATAGTTTTCAACCTTGTGTAATCTTCCTTGCCTTAATTTCCCTCTTTGGCTAACTTCAACACATTCATGTTGCAGATTGAGTGAGTTTACAATAAGAAAGGTTGGTATCTTGTTGACTAGTTAATAATCTAGCCCCACTCAGGTCAAGCTGTTGGTTCCACTACTCCCTAAATTCTCTGAGAGGACTCACATAGTGTGTCCCATTCTTAGGAAAGTGATCCTTTTAGAATTAAAATTCTATAATATGAAAATAATTTCGGTCACTCAACAATCAGGTGTCGACAACTTGTTCTGTGCCCAGCAGCATGCTCGATGCAAGAGACACAAAAATAAAGATGCAGGTCCTCACACGGTTCCTAATCCAGTGGGGATAGACAGACTTAAAGAAATGCTCATAAACAACTAGAGAGCAATGTGCAATAGAAATGTGCAAGTTAAAAAAAAATACTGTGAATATGCCTAATTTTTACTAAGGGAAAAAGATATTTAGTTCAGCACACCTATTTATGGATGTAGATTTCCTCCTCCTTCTTGTCTTTTCATCTGGCTTATTTTCTGTTGTTTCTCCAACACTTCCTTCTAACAATGTGGAATATAGACAGGTGCTCTTCAAGCCCTTTCACCTTCTCCTTTAGGGGGAAGACCAGTTATAATTACCACCAGCATTGTTGGCCATTGCCTCAAGCACAAAAGAAACATATGATCTACCTACCCGGCCACAGATTACAACTTTCAGCATGTCTTGACTCTCTAGATAAACTGGTAGTGCTTCTAAACTGGCTGTGGAAGAAACCTCCCTGGAAAATGTTTTTCTCCACCATGGATTATGTTGTCAACCAGCAATGTCCTCTACCTGAGGTGAGTATCCACTCTAAGTAAAGGGATAGCTGCATTGCTGACACTGTGGGAAACTTCCTCAACTCCAAAATTGGCTGTGCAAACTTTGCCCTTCAAAAAAGCTTCCCGTAAAGAATAAACATAGAAGCAGTTTTAGGAAAACTTCAGAAGATTCTATTTGTCCTACAGCCAATCAACAGCTACATTAAAAAAAAAAAAAAAAAAAGAGGGAGCTGCATTGTGACACTCATTTCCTAGGCTATCAATCTTTGTAATCACTCTTTCTTCCCTAGGAAATGTCTTTGGCCAAGAGGCAATGGTTAGGAGAATCATTTTGGCCTTCCCCAAAGAGGCTGAGAACACAGCCACAGAAAAGAAAATGCTCTCCACCTGCACCCACCCCCACCCCCGACAGCCTCGATCTAAATATCAGAGTCACAGTAGAGTGACCAAGAAGATGACAAAGAGACAAAGTGGCACCAAAGGAACTCTTGGTTTTTTTCCACAGGCACACTCTGATCAAGCACCCTCCACATCCATACTCATCTTCTTCCAAGTCCGTTCGGGATCAGCCTTACCCATCAGTTCATGAATGGGTGGTCACCTGTGTCCCATACGTTAAAGGGTGTTAAGAAACCTCTGCTGCTCTGAGATGTCCTGCTCCATGCCCTACCTTGATTCCTGAAATTCCACCACTGGAGTCATTCCTACAAGTGATGAAGTACTTGATTAGATCCTGTCCAAGTGATAGCTCGCCAGAGCACATCGTGAAGAGGGGAAAGTGGAATGTGTGTGAAGGTCCAGAGTGCCTGAGAGAAGAGAACATTCCACAAGCTCTGAAGGGGAAACATGGGTCCCAGAAAATGAGTCTGCCTATTTTACAGCTGCATATAGGGTCAGAACCATACCCATCCCACTGTGCACTTGTTCTGATCTTGCCTAACTCTCCACACTCTATGGAAAGACCACAGATTGAAGCTCACAGGAAAGCCCAGGCTGATTAGAGATTATTTTACTGCACCTGATACAGCAGTGCCAGTACATGCTTGATCTTCCCCTCCCCTCAAAAATGTTGCCACTGGCTCAAATTCTGGAACGGCCTCTCCAAACTGCCCATTTCTCTTGGACAATGCAGTAAGGAGAAGACACTGCTCAGCCTCGAAATTCCTGAAGAGAATTAGGTTAGCATTCTAATTAGAATTAGAATTCATTAGAATTAATTCTAATTAGAATTAGTATTGGGAAGAGAACAGGTTAGCCAAAGGCAGTGGCCTTCCCCACTTCTTGTGGGCACACCTCTGGAAGAGAGAATAGTCTCTGTGAAATTTGTCTGTCTAGGTAGGCAATAAGGGTGGGTAACAAATTAGCCTTTTCACCCATTGGAGGCAATAGGTTATGATGGAAAAGAGCATAGATTTGGAATCATATAGACCTGCAGTTCCCAACTCCTGGGTCACAGACTGGTATGGGTCCATGGCCTGTTAAGGAACCAGGCCACACAGCAGGAAGTGAGCGGTGAATGGGTGAGTGAAGCTTCACCTGTGTTTACAGCGTTCCCCATCACTCGAATCACTGTGTACGTTCCACCTCCTGTCGGACCATCCACGGCATAAGATTCTCGCAAGAGCACAAACCCTACTGTAAACTGCACATCCCAGGGATGTAGGTCGCCTGCTCCTTAGGAGAATCTAATGCCTGATGATCTGGAGGTGGAGCTGAGGCAGTGACGCCAGCGCTGGGGAGCAGCTGCAAATACAGATTATCATTAGCAGAGAAGTGTGACTGCACAATAAATGTAATGCACTTGAATCATCCAGAAACCATTCCCCCAGCCCCTCCCCCTCTCCGACCCCAGTCCATGGAAAATTGTCTTCTATGAAACCAGTCCCTGGTGCCAAAAAGGTTGGAGACCACTGATATAGACCTTCCTAGAGCTGCTAGTTATTATATTTTTGACATTGGCTGGGTCACCTGACCCCTCCGAGCCTTTGTTTCTTCACCTATGAAATGGGGATAATGATGCCCATGCCACTGTGGGGAGAATGTATAAGGAGCCTGGCACACAGGTGGCTTTAACAAATACAGTTCTCTTCACCATTAGTTCCCCATCTGAATGCAGCACATCAGTGTCCTATTAAAGCTGTTAATCCCAATATAGAAAAAGAGGAATGATTGTTTAAATTCTTATTTACATCCTAAATACTCTGACTGAACTCCAGTGAAGCTAGCTCAAGAAGAAGTTATGTCCCCCAAAACCAGACAGTGCATTTGGGACTCTTGTTGCTCAACACAAGTTTTTGAAGTGATTTCTGTACATGAAGGAGAATGGAGCTCTCTTCCAGATGAAATGAAGAATGTGAGTTTGTTAAGTTTGTTATCATAAATATTTAGTTGGGTTCCCCAAATCAATGATTCTATTTATTTCTAGAATTGCAAACAAATGAGTTTATAATATTCTATCAGCCACTTACACTGTATTAATTTACTGTATTAAGAACATCAGGGGGAAAAAAAAGAGAAAGCATCCTACCAACTTATGGTGTAAACACCCCAATTATACTAATGTTTTGGGATCCATTAGCAAAGTGTTGCTGACAATGTGACTGCAAAGGTCCTTCCCCAAATGGTCTAATTTATCCATGCAGCTCCAAGAATAAAAATGTGGGGCTATAGCATAAGCTTTTAAGGATTCTCAAAACAAAAATCTATAGCCTGCACCCAGCAAAATATTAATAAAAGGACTTCACACAGGCTTCAAATTCCTGAAGAAAGCGTTTTCCATAGATTACAGCAAACTGACCCTGCAGAGACAAGCTGACACAGCAAAAGAGTTACTAAGGAAAGGAAGAGAGACAAGAGGGAGAAACGAAAAGAAAGGAAGAAAAAGTTTTACTTTCTCCTTTTTGGCATATTGAATTTTATGAAAAAATTCTCAAAATGCTCAACCTAGGTGAAGAATCAACCAGATAATTACCTTCAAAAAGCTTCTCAAACTCTGGATAGTAAAGAAGTTGGGCAACATGATGTTTTGTTTGGGGACCCCCACTGGGAAATAATAAATTCTTGGTGATTAATGGCACTTTATGTGCTGTTGGCCATTAAAACATTTTCTGTTCTTGAGTCACAACGGAAGCTACAGCTTGAATTTTATTGTTCACTGTGCTTTTTTCTTTCCTGGGTGAGCCAGCATTGGATTTAGGAGTTGAAAGTTTATGGAGTTAGCAGGACCCCAAGGGACTAAGAGCTGAGCAGAGCCAATGAGGATAATGCCAAAGATTATCTATCCTCAGTGAAAATGCAGGATTCAGAAAGAAAAAGAAAGAAGAGTGATTATAAAGAATGACAGTCTGTAACTTAGACAAAATTTCTTGGCTAAGTTGTTAAGTCTTCTTATTTTTTTTTTTTTTTTAATAAACAAGCAAAAAGTTTCCTGGTTGACAGTTGCTTAAACTCTTCCTTTTTCCATTTTTGGCACGCTATTGAAAGGACAAACTGGTGACTTCCCCCAGGACTCCAAGAATGAGTCTTCAGAGAGGATGCAGCAAAACTAGCTGTTAGAAGTAGAGAGTTGAGAGTTAAGGAGCTGTAGGGGGTAGAAAAGAGATTTTTGCTCAGCAAATGATAGGTTTTGTCGGTGTCGATGGGTTTTCTTTTCTCTGTGTCCTTAAAGAAATCCTCTAACCTGGGCCTTGGGCCTTAGGCCTTACCCAAACAATATTTTTTGTGATGTTTTCCAAGCACATTTTAGTTACACTTTTAAAAAAAACGTACTTGTCGTTTTTCCCAGTCTTGGCAGTCACTGAAAATAGAGCAAAATATAAGACTTTTACGGTAAGAGTTGATCACACTGAAATCTAAGATGGTTATTGCCCAACCTGTGCATGTTTTTTCTTCAGCCTCCGTTTTCCCATCGAAGGGAGAGCACATCTAGGTTCATAAAGACATTACATACAAATATGACATTTACACACATCAATACCTAATGTTTTTTAGGAATCTGAAAGAAACAAAAACAAAAGGGTAAACAAAATATAACTCAAGGGAATACTAGATTATAGTCCCGACTGTCTCACCTACTACAGCTGCTGCAGTCCAGGAGTTTCTGTTCATTCAGGTCCAGAAGTAGAGGTATATTTTCTCCCATTGGGTGGTTCCAGTAAAGGCTTGGGTAGATTCCTCTTGATTTTTATCTGTGTCCCAATTTCCTGTAAAAGATAAAACTGTAAAACAAAGAGTAATAAGCTCCAAATCTTCCTGCTGGGGACTTGATGAAGACGGATTAGACACTGACAGCCAGGAAAAGATGGAAGGGCCTGCATGACAGAGGCCAGACTAATGCAAAACGAAAATCATCAATTTGATAGTGCTCACATGTTACTTAAAAATCAATGAAGAAACAAAGTGAGGGAACCCTGAAGCCATTTTAGCACCCCCGCTTTTGCACTCAACTCTAACTTAGCAGCCTTGAAATATCTTGGCTCTGAAAACCCAGTCAATCATCATTAATAATGATATTTTTATAGCACTTTAAAAATTGGAATTTCCAGAACCAGTTTGATAGATGCCTTGTCACTACCTTGCCATTTGCGTAATTTTTTTCCTGGGTTGTTTCTTTTTTCCCCGTCTCCATTAAAAGAATTTTTTAACAGAAAAAAAGAAAGAGAATTTTCTTTTGATTGAAAAATTCATAAGAGATGGCACAGCTTGCCCTGTGCTATGAATCCCTCACCAATGAGGAAGGTATTTAGTGAATTGTACAGGGACTTTCAAGTTGAATGACTCAAGAACTTGAGTTTACTTAGGGAGTCAAAACAAATGCCTGCCTACTGCCTTCAGATCTGGAATAAGAGTTCACTGAGTTGCACAAAATGGAAAAGATTAGAAGCAAAGGCTGGGTTGTTGTTTTTCTCTGATACACAAACATCTCAAGCGACTTACTTCTTTGTTTATCTCACGACAAACCTTGGATATTACTTACTACCTCTCGTATGACCTTCTCAGATAGTTCGGAAATATTCCTTCCAAAAATTTCAATTCATTAAGTTATAAAGTAGTTGGATTTTCATCTGCTTCTGGCTCTATTTATCTGTCAGTCTCCCTCCCTCCCCTCTTCTTGCATACACAGGCACAGATACACACACACACAACCTCCCCATGAGTCCTCCTTGTCTTTGAAAATGCAGATGAAATTTCTTATTTCTCCTGTAACTTCTACAAAACTATCCAAGCTATGAGATACCTTGGCAAACTCCAACTTTGAAAGGGAACTCCAACAATTCATGCTTAACTTCGGAGCCAAAGAAAGCCTGAATTTTTTCAAAAGTTTATATTTGCTTGGTTTTGTTCTTTTGTTTTTGTTTTGGTTTTGTTTTTTTGTTTTTTTTCTTGTAGCCTCTTTTATTCTTCCCCTCTAACAGACTGCACAGGAATTTTTATCACTACTGGGGGCCTAATATTGGTGGTGAAAAAGTGAGTTCCTGTCCTGGTGCTGAACTAAAAAGGAATAAATGTCTTTGGATGTATCGAGTTTCTTTGTCAAACAAACAAAAATAAAGGGATCTAGTTTACTGGAATACTTGTGGTGCTCATTAAAATTGATGACTTCGAAGATTCTGTGCCTCTCTTCCTTTACCCAGGGCCCTCAGCCAAGAATCTGCTGGGCTGTTAAAGACATCATGTTATTGAGGTGTTGTAAAACAGACCACTGCTGTTGCCTTTGCTCACCCTTCAGGTTGCTGTGTGGCAGTGAGAGAGGCTTAGGGTGACTAGGAGACCTAGCCATTTGGCCAAGGGCTGTCAATGGGATGGGACCTAAGATACAGCCTGGTATTTTCTGTCTATAAACATCAAGTTCGAAAAAGAAAGAAAAGGAGCTGGATTAGCATGGGGCGGAGTTGGGTTTTTCTTAGAAATGTTCGACTCTGCAGAAGTGTGCCTTTATTTTTGGCACAAATTGCTATAGCAAATTACATAGCTTATCAGATGTGGTTTTTTGGGCTCAGTAGAGAAACCACTGAAGGGACTTGTTCTCTTTGTTCTTTGTTCCCAGTTGGGAATTTCGGATAAATCAGTGTCCTGTTATAATTCAGGAACAGGCTTGAATAATAAGTACAATATTAACAATATTTGTGAACCAATTAAACTCACATCACTCCACCTTGACAAAGTAGACCTTGGTCCTAAAAGAGATTTCCATTCTACCCTAAAAGAGCTGAGATACAACATTTGAATCTCCATGTCACAGATTAGCAAAGATAAACCTTGGGGGCATTGAAGGGGGCAGAACAGGGCAGGAGGTGAATCTCCGTGAATAAGAGGTCCAGAGAGAACATTCTCATCACTTCTCACCAACATCTTCCTTTATTTTTCCACCATCTGTGTGGATTCACCGTCGTATGGCAGAGAAACCCAAACAGAATGTTACTTTTGATATATTGATTATTCATATGCTTGTCATTGCTGAAAATGGAGAAGGGTACATTAAAAACATAATTGCACAAACACAAATTTTTCAGTAGTTGAAAAAAAAACCACAAAGTATTCATGTATTCATCAATTTGTTGATTCATTTATGCAGCGGCAAAGCAAAAGAAGTAAAAAGCAAGGCTCAAGGAAGCAAATTTATTAAGAGTATAATACAAGGCAAAAGCTAAACAAGTACATCTCACCTAGGAGTATAGTTACACCACACTAGAGACAGAAGGCAGAGCAGAAAAGTCAATACAGGGGGGAGGGAGTGATGAGGGAAGATGACTCTTAATCAGAAGCCTCAATGATACATAGATTTTCAAGCATTTGCTTGGGTCCCTTTCTTCAAATGAAATCTTACATGGAAATCCACTGCAGGAACCCACCTCTCATCTGTCACCACTTCCCTATTCTTCTCGTGTTGTCCCCACCTCTGCAAGTGTTTATGGTTTGAAAATCACTGAAATATAGAAGGTATGCAATACAGAAGACAGAAAAGACACTCTGGGTGTGGAGAACAGCATGTGCAGAGCTGAAAAGGAGGTGGTGATATAGACTCCACTAGCACAATGAACACATTTAGGCAAAGTCATCTGGCTGAAGCTGAGTCAATGGACTATTGGGGACCACTGAAGATTAAGTTGGGGAGTGATGTAATTAAGATGAGCATTTAAGAATATTAACATGACAGCCATGTGCTGATGGTCTACAATGGACAGAGTCCAGCACAGATCTCATTAGAGTAATCCAGACATCAGAAATGAAGAGCCCCCACCCTGTAAAAATGGGGTACAGCCAATAGGTCTTAGTGGTATAGTGGGTCGGGGAGTTAAAGGAAGTGCAATCTAGAAAGTCATTTTTGACTGATCAGGCTAAGTGAGGTCTTTAAATTATACACTTATAGGAATCTGTGGTTTTTCCCATGGCCATTATCTCTATTAGTTGTTATAGATTTGTGTGATTATTTATCTAATACTTTTCTACTCAGAAGCTATAAAGTTCCATGAGATCTGGGACTCTGCCTGTTTGGTCACAATCCTATCACTAGAATTTAGCATAATAGGTATATAATAGGCACTCAAATATTTGTGAAAATAGAAAACTCAATAAATGATATTGCTAAAGAGAAATAGATGAGTTTGATTGTTTTCACATTTTTCTTAGATGAGGAAAATAGATCTAAATGCAGATTTCCCACCCCTGCAGAAGACATCGGGCTGAAGAATAGTTGAAAAGTCAGTGATGAGTGTAAAAACTAGGGCATCCACAGCAGCTGAAGCCATGAGAATTAATTAGTCTGCCCAAGAGAGTGAATCTAAAGACAGCAGGGCAGAGTGAGCAGAGGATTCTCATGCGAAAGTCAAATGGAAAACCGGAACAGTCAAAAGTAAAGAATACTTCTCTGAGGGTAAATTTGGAATGGTTTGCCATACACCCACACTTGGAGACATTTATAAACCATAACAGGAAGAAATCCTCTTTCAAAAAAAGTTTCAAACATTAGGAATTTTGGAAGGGGAAATAAAATGTACAATTAATCAGCAGAGCCCAACCCACATATGGGTCCCTATCAGAATTCTTCCTCAAATTTATAAAACCTGGCTAACCACCTTACCCCAGATGCTAATAGTGTCTTGCTAAGAAACCCAGACCATGAGCCAGTGCTTTTTCTTTCCTTTTCCTTTTTCTCTTTTCTTCTTGTTTTCTTCTATCTCCCACTTTCCTTTAGTAGCAATATATAAAACATCTCTTTCCTAGAATTATATAAGCCACATGAAATTCCAAAATCTCATTTGCTGATCTAATTTTTCACACCATTCCACCTAAGTCCTTTTGTTTATTGTTTTTGTTGCTGTTGCTGCTATTGCTGCAGTTGTTGCTTTCTTTTCTAAATTTTTGTTTTGTTTTGTTTTATTCTTTGGTTGGTAGAAAGAGAAGCAAGAGAAAAATGGTTGAATTATACAAAATGTAATTCCTTTGTTGTCAAAGAAGGTTCTTGGATCCCCCACCTATTTGTCCTTAGGCCATGAGACAATTAGATCTTTCTTTTTTTCTTGAAAATAATCATAGGTCCAAGAACATTATTAACACAGAGTTACAATGTGGATTTTCTTCTACATAATACTTTTTTCTGTTTATTCCTATGAGAAAGATGCATATGTTACTTAGAAAGTAAATAGGTATGGATTTTGAATGCTCACATGTTAAATTCTGTAATTTATATATAAAATTTAAATGTTGAAATTCTAAAATTAAGTCCAACGTTAATGGCAAGGACTTTGAGAAAAGAAAGTCTAGGAGCAAAAACACCCTGCCACGACCAATAGTATTTCTTCAGGAAAAGCTGCACTGGGACTTACTGATCTCAGGCGTCCAACAGCAATTTTTGTTCCAAAGGAAACACCAAATTACCAAAATGTGTGACCAGTCCAGGGACAACAGAAAGCCCCAGTGATTCTCTGCTAAATCTGGAAGTGAAGCCTCAGACCATGGCTCTGCTTGAAACTACTTCTGATCTATGAAACCTTTCTGGAGTTTGTTCATTTATTCATGCACATGTAGCTCTAAGTGGGCATTTCCGATGTGCCCAGTAGAGGAATAAGAGACCCAGCTCCTGCTCCCAAAGAGCTCAAGCTGGTGGGAGCCCCCTCCAGCCCTCCTCCATGGTCTTTTCTTCCTCACCCTCCTAAAGACTTGCCAGGTGTTCTGACTGGAAGCAGTTAGCTGTCTTTGTTTCTATCGTTTGTATTTATGAGCACACAAAAACCTTAGAGAGCTATGAGTTAATCTTATTTTCCCAGATTGACACCATTTTTATTAGTACCCACATTTATATTTTCTCTCATTCTTATTCTTTTTTTTTTTTTTTTTTTTGAGACAGTCTTGCTCTGTCACCCAGGCTAGAGTGTTGTGGTGTGAGCCTAGCTCTCAGCAACCTCAAACTCCTGTGCTCAAGCAATCCCCCTACGTCAGCCTCCTGAGTAAATAGGACTATAAGCAAGCACCACCATGCCAGGCTAGTTTTTTCTCATTTTTTTAGTTGCCTGGCTAATTATTCTGTTTTTAGTAGAGATGGGGTCTGGCTCTTGCTCAGGCTGGTCTTGAACTCCTGACCTCAAGTGAATCTCCCCGCTATGGCCTCCCAGAGTACTAGGATTCCAGGCATGAGCCACTGCACCTGGCCAACTCCCATTCTAATTCTAACTTACAGATGCAGTCAACTCACCTGTCAGAGTTTTGCTTGCCTCAACACTCAGCAAGAAGCAGGGCACATCCAGGGATCTTCCTCCAGATCCTTCTAAAAGTTTTGCAGGGTAAGAAAGAATTGTCAGCAACTGAAGGAGGTAATTCTTTAACTTACACCTAGAGTCAGGCTGAGGAGGAATAAATGGAGACACATGATCCATGAATAAAAAGGAAAAATGGACCAAAGGATTTTAAAAAATGATTGTACACATCATCACAGCTTTGAGGGAGCAAGATCAAAATATTATACTATGGGCAGCCTGGTTGACAAACAGGAAATACTGCAGCATACCACCTGCTCCCCCAGGGCTGATGGGCCTCTGTTGCATTAAGTGAAGCACAGTCAAATCATGATTTCAGGTTTTCCATACGTTGCTTTTCACACACACAAGTCTCACAACGATCCCACCTTTGTCAACAACAGGGCATGTCACCCATTTTCTATGTTATGCTGTTTTTTAATGTTTTTTCTTAAAATATGCAGCTTTCCTCTTCCCTAAAGATTTATTCCCTTGGCATGTGTGTTCTATCCTACATCCATGACTAGAATGATCTTCAGGTCAGGTATCTTGCATGGTCTCCCCTTTCTACATAACCTTTCTTGATGCCTCAGCACACCATTACTGATCAGCGGGTCACTCTTTACAAAGAGAAAGAGCAGGCCACACTACATATTGTGAGTTAATGGGGTGTCCCCCGTCCTGCATTGCTCATTTCAGCTGCTCCCTGAAGAAGCAAGAATTCCTGAGCACTGTCTGAGCAGCACCCACTGGTGCTGGAGCTAATGGCAGTGGCCCGAAAGGACGCCTGACGCTACCTTGCTACGTTCCCACTGGCTGGTCATTCCAGCCAGTCTTCCTTTTTCCTCAGCAGACCTTTGTTCTTGTTACTTCTACACCTGGAATTTCTTCTCCAATTTAAAACACAGTCATTCTCTATAACACTGTCTATGAAGCACAACTTCTGAGAGTTTTTAGGGTCTTGAGGAGCTCATACTTTTCTCAGCATATTGTGCCCTTGACTTCTCTACTTTGCATTTAGATTCCAACCACCTTGAGAGCTCATTGCCTTGCAACCTGGTATTATGCTTTATATGTGATCAATATCAGTAAGTGATTGGTAGAATGTGTGACTCCTAACTCGTGCACACACACACAGTGCTGTCATCATATGCTGGTTACTTTGTGTGTTCTCATTTAACACTCACATCAACGCAATAGAGGAGGTACCATTCCCATGTGTTTTTAGTTAATGAGTAAAATTTAGGGAAGCTACATGTTTTGTCCACGGTCATCAAGTTAGCGACAATAATAGGCTATACATTTTATTGCCTTCTGATTTGGGACAGTGTCTCCCAGCCCACAGTTGTATTAGAACACTGTGCACGTCAAAAGCATCTTGATGAAAGTACAACCTGTCTCTTCCACCCACCCTGTCACTATCCTCCTGCGCCTTCTCCTTTCCGCCTTGAATAAATGAATATTCCCAACAGGTGGGCATTGCCCAGTGTGCCAGGTCTAAGCCAAGAAATGTTGCTGTGAAGAATACTAACAGGCCCCACTCCTCAGTGTGTGTTAGTGTGAATACAACACCACCACATTTTCCAGCAAATGTGTCCTACGGGGCCTTCCACCCACTGGCGTGTGGACTTGCTCTGCCTGCCTACTAAGTCAGTGGGAACTGGAACGTTTGAATGGACATGTTGTCAACCTCCTACGAAGAAAAAAATATCAACATAAGCAATATCGACAGTAGGAAGAGTAAGGCCTATCCATGAGGATTATATCCCTTGATCCTGACACCTCTGAGATGTAGATAACACAAATAGTGTGACTATCCCCAATTGACAGGTGAAGATTGAGACTGACAGAAGTTAAGTGACTTACCCACGGTTAATAAGTTAGTAAGTGGCAGAGCATTTTCTAGCATCCAGGTTTTTTGGGTTTCTTTTTAATTTTTTTCATATTGTGATCTTTCCCCCACATATTGGGAGAGGAAGAGGCTAAGGGAAAGAAAGGGTTCCCAGGGCAGGGCGTGGATAAAGGTAAGCGTGCACAGGAAGCTAAGGGTCCCCGGCAGCACAGGGAGAAGCTCCCTTCCGCAAGAGAGGGAGGCTCCTGTCGCAATCTGGACGGAGGAGGGGCAGGAAGTGGGCACCTGCAGCTTAGAAGTTGGCAGGAGAGACTGTTCTCCAATGTTCTCGTTCAGAAAGCAAATGTATTTGAAACGCTGAGGACTCCACATATATTCTGTTAATAATTTACCAACTGAAACCATTAAAGATGTTGACAAAAGCTTTTCCATTTACTATGGGTGTCTATGGGCGATCTGAAACCACTCATTTCCTTTAGAAGCTCCCCGGTTGTTTCTGGGTGTCCCAGCTAACCGGCAGCAGCGAAGGCAGCTTGGACCGGCCTCAAAGGTAGTGTTGGTTTGAACGTACAACTGCCCTGATCCCACACGCAGGCGTTTCACCACTAACTCACTGAGGGATTGTTGGCCCAGGCCTCTGTAGGCAGGTTACATTTGCCAATAGATAAAACGTATAGTGTAAGCGGATATCCCTAGATGAGAGGCTCAATACGAAAAAGTAAGTATTCCCAGGAGAAGCCCTTCAAGATGTCACCAGAGTCGAACACTCGATGGAAGCAGAACATTCCTATAAAATCCAATAATTTTACTCTTTCAGAGCCTTCTAGCTATGCAGGGACTACCAGTACCAAAGTGAAAGGAACCAATTGCCCTTACTGAGCAGGATGAATGAATTCGTTTCAGCCATCATTTGTAAACAAAAACAAGCAGTACAGCACTTGCTATTTTAAAGTTCTGAATTCTTATTCCATTTCTGCCACCCCTATCCCCCTTGGATAAATGTATCAGTTAAGATGTGTTCAGCTACAGATTACAGAAAATGCAACTAAATGCGGCTTGAACAATGAGCGCATTTATTAGTTTCCATAGCGGGAAGGCCAGAGTTCCAGGGTGATTAAGTTGGCAGCTCCAGGACTTTGTGACCATCTTTCTATCCTGCCCTGCCTCAGGGCTGGGTTGTCCTTGCAGACCACCTTCCTCCATGGCCCTCAGGTGGCTACATCTCATGGCCCTCAGGTGTCCATGTCACATGGAGATGCTGAGGTATAGAGGTAGGAAGGGAATGTTCACGAATTGTGTCCCTTTTTTGAAGTGAAAAGAGGAGGAACTGTCTAAGAAACTTGGTCAGCCCATGTCACACACCTAAGTGTAAACCCAATCACTTAGCCAGGCGCATGGATGGAATCTCTGTAATTGACTTACCTAAGCAAAGCCTGTCTTCAAGCCTGTGCACACTCAGAGGAGGTAAACATAATCAGAAGCAAGGAGGGGAGGTCAATCTCGCAGGCAACAGGGATTATCGGCCCTACTGCTAAAGTTCCACAATTTAAAGATGAAGAAGGCAATATTATCCCCACTTAATAAAAGGACCAATGTGATTTAACAAAATAATAGAATTTTCCCAGAAAACAGAAAAGATTAGAAGGAATTAATATACAATATGCCAAAGCAATGACCTCACTCTTAGATTCAGGTGTATCAGATTAATCTCTGCATTTCTGTGAGATAAACAAGGCTACATCATCAGAGAAGGCAAACTGAGATGAAGAGCAGCATAATGAGTAGCCCACAGTCATCTCACTCCCCCCTCACCCCCAGGAAGAGTTCAAAAAGAAGACATCTGATTTGGTCCCAATCATTAAGTCATAAATGGGAGAAGTTATGCAGTGGCCTCCAAACCACGGGGCGTGCAGCAATGATCTGTTCAGGCTTGGGAAGAAAATCCTGAAATTTTTATTTATATTTTTCATATCATCATCTTTTAATTTTTATGTGTAACACTTTATCATGGACATGATACATTAGCACAGTAGTGCATGCATATAATTGATAGCTATGTAGAAAGAGAAGATGTGGGCTGATACATTTTTTACTTTTAGGATGCACAGCTAAAAACTTTCAAGATGACTGGGTTAGATCATAGTAGTATTTTCATGGCTTCCACTGTAGCACAAAACTGGAAGGGAAAAAAATTCATGCAGAAACTGACACAACTGGATTTTTGATTACCCCACACCAATACAGCAAGGCAGCACTGAATCTGGACTTAGAATAGCTGATCTGCAGCAAAACAGACACCCCAGTTTGCTTTTATTTGTTGATCCTTTCAAAGGCTCTTACTTTTGTTGACCAGGAGACCACTTCTATCACTGATTTCCTCTCCCCGCCCCCTTCCTTTTTCAAAGTATCTCCTATTTTAAGAAGTGTTGTGCTCAGCCTATCTGGTGCAACATAAATGTAGCTTACTAGGGTAGTCAGGAAGTCAGAATAGCTTTGCGGGTTCCCACAGTGTGTTTGCTCAGTCAATTAACAATCGTGCATCTACCAAGTGCCAGACATGAGGCTACAAAGATATTCCAAGACTCCTGGAGTTCTGTGTCTAGGAGGACTCCCCAGCCTGGAGAGAGACTGATGAGAAAGCGGTATTAATAGAGCACTAGCCTGCTACAGAGGAAGAGGTTAAAAATCAGCCCATGGAGAAGGGAAGTCAGGAGGTGAGAGCTGGATAGGAGTGGGTGTCAGGAAGCCCCTCTAGGAAGAAATGGCTCTTAACCCTTTACTGAGTCTTAAAAGAGAGAGGAGCCGGTCAAGTCCAGTTTCCACCTGAGGAAGGAGATGGGAGTCGGGGAGAGAAGGACGCCTTTCTTCCCTTCAGCACACCTTATCTCTATCTCCCTCCAGGTTGACATGACTCTGCAGGTGTGGCCTGGGTGTGGGCCCTACACTCTCTGGAATGTGGCTTTCCCTAAACGCACCAGCTGCCTGGCCTAGCCCAGTGCACCTAAGGGCACCGAGCATGGCTCCCAGTGCTGCCCAAGCGCTTAAAGGCAAATGTGTTGCAAGGCCCTTTGCAAAAAAATAAAAGAAAAGAGAAAAACTCAAGGAGCAATGATTTTTAATGGATGTGGGGCTGGGGGGGGTGAGTTGAGAAGCTACAGAATTTCATTCTGTTTAATCCCATGTATATGTCACTGAACAGGTTAAAAGGGTTGATTCAATGAGTTTAATTGCAAACTCTGCTATGAGCAAATTGTAACCTAACCCTCAAATTCATTCCAATGAGTCCACATTTTTAAACCATACACTGGAAGAAAGACTAAACTTTTTTTTACTCAGAAAAGGTTGTTTTTCTTCAACCCTCTTTCCTTTTCCACACTTCTTTCTTT